ACCTTCCGACTACTGCAAATAACTTATTCCTAAGGTAAGTGTGTCTTAGAATAATTGTCTACTTATATTTCACCAATGCCACACCCAACCCAATACTCAGCAATGATTCAGAACGCCATCTCCCATAGAAGTTCCTTATGTAAAATGTCTCTCAGAAACAAAACACAATTCATGGGGTTCCCCGCTCGTTCCTCAAGAAGGGTTCACCTCGCAACGTCAGTGACAAGGAGCTCAATTGAAGAGCAGTCCTAATTCACTGCCAGCTCCTTCTCCAATTGAGCCGAAGATAGCACCCTTGTCATGGCCAAGCATTATCCTGTCTTGGGTATTCCATGGAATAGACTGGAACATGTTTTGCACGTTCATCTCTCTGGCTTCTTTGTACTGTTTAACTATTTGTAACTCTTAAAACAGTCGTTTTATGCAAGCCGTCCAGGTTACGTGGGACATACTTCTAAATACTAACTATTTTATTGTTGCTTCTCTGAAATTCAAATTTAATTGATTGCTTGTATTTTTTATTTGCTAGTTGGTGGCAAAATTGCAGCTTCCAGAATATGAACCATCCTATTAGTTTTCTCAGGTTTCTCTTTTCCAATTGAAGAAGATATACACCAATTCACGTCTCTGGGCTGCTGTTTATAAGCTGTGGGATCCTAGATAAGTTGCTTCATCTCTCTGGGCCTCCAACCTCTTATCCATAAAGTAGGCCTAACACCTCTAAGGGCCAGAACGACATCTGTTCATCAAAATGCATGCACCCTCTTCCTCCTGGGCACACAGCTGGACTCAATTCCTTGGTCTCTCTTGTGGTTAGCAAGAGCCGTAGGGATGGCTTTGAGAGAGCAGACTGGGAGCAGGAGTGGTGTACGCCATCTGTCTTCTCCATCTTCCACCTTCATTTTTCCAGCTGGGTGCAGAGGGCGATGATGTCTCAGACATGAATGGAGTTTGAGCATGAAAGGAGCGTGGCTCTCTGAGGTCTCACGTGAAAACCCAACAAAACAAGTGCGAAGAGCTCTGACATGTATCTTTTATGTGAGCAAAAAGGTAAACTTCTGTTGCAGAACATCACTGAACGTTAGGGTTTCATATGTCACCACTGCTGCTTTTACCCCAAGCCCCCAAATAAAGTTGCTATTGGAAATGAAATGCTACCTCGGTGAGTGCCTAGGACGAGTGTATGGACTGGGTAAATACCTGAGAGGTGTGGACTTAGCAATGCCCAGGTGAGTGGTATGGGCTTAGCAGTTGGGCAGGACCTACAACCAAGAACTAGCTGAGTCTTCCAATTAAAGCATCGCCTTCAAACAGACCTCATTCCTACGAAGCCTGGGTCACTTTGCAGTTAGAAAGAACCAGTTCAGTGTGATTCAGCCTTTACCTTGTAATCGGTTTTATAAGAAAGAGATGACTCTGGAAAAAAACAGATGGCTTTGAGAGAAAAAGAATAAGGAAACAGAGTGCAGAACCCTGCATCCTGGCCAGATTAGACAGCGAATGGCAACTGGGTCCTAAATGGTAAGACATAACTTTAACAAAGCCTGTTGTCAATATCAAATAAAGACTGGTTGAGTCGTTAAGTCTACCTGGCTAAAATCCAAAGAGTATCAACGTATGGAAAAGATCCGATGAGGGGTCTGTCCCTTCAGATGGCTCCGTGACCTCAAATATGAAGTTGAGTGATACAGGCGTGTGCATCAGGAAGCAGAGAAAGAACACAAACCCAATCGTGTGCCTTGAAAAGAACTTGAACTCTGGTACCTGAGATGAATCCATTGCAATAGACCAGAAACGTCTTCAGGAATGGTAGTAAACAGTAGGGTTTCCATAACAAAATTCCTCAAAGAGGGATCCTTAGGCAATGGAAACCGATGGGCATATACTTCTGGAGGCAATAGTCCAGAATCGAGGTGTTGGCAGAGTCGGTCTACGGAGCCTTTGCTCCGGGCCTCCCCTCTGGGCCAGTGGATGGCCATCCTCATCTTCCCATGGTGCTTTCCAACTAAACAGCTTTTGTTTTCAAATTCCTTTTCCTTATAAGGATATCAGTCATGCTGGGATAGAACGCACCCTAAGAACCCCAATTTAACCTTATAAAGATCCTTTCTCCAAATGAAGTCATATTCTGAGGGACTAGTGGTTAGAAGATCACCTTATTAACTTTTGTGTGATGCAATTCAACCTGGAATAGAAACTTTTTGAGGAAATTAAATTGCCAAAGAAACAAATTTTCTGGATATTTCAACAAAAGAAAATACCTGGTACTCTTGAACCCCAATGTTCACAAAAGCAGGAAGTGAGCTCCAAAAGCCCTTCAGCCCCCAACACCCATGAGAACATGGAGGACATAGAAAATGGTCTACTTCCTGCCATGGTCGTGGAGAATGATGGACAGGGGAGCTCCTCCCCCCAGAGGGCCTACCCAGGGCCTACTCCTGGGGACTTCCTCCACCGTGACCATGGACCACTGAGTGCTTGTGTCTCTAGTTCTTGTGCCGGTACCACTTATACTCTCCTGCAATAGATGTGTGTTGGGAGCACTCATGCCCAGTCTGTTTAGTTCAAGGTCAACAGAGCATGCATAGTCCCCTCTTGGCTTGATGGAAAGGTCACTGTCTGTTCCCTCCAGATCATGGATGTGTTATGGCTGACTGAATGCTATAACCCAAAGTGAGTGAGTCCCTGGGTAGGAAGAAGAGTGTCACAAAGCGGGGGTGGACACCCAGTTTGCAATGTAGTGTCTTCCCACCACCTTCTCCAGGCTCCTTTTCAATTGGAAACGAGGTTTTTAGCCCATGGAACATAAGTGGAGAAGAAGCCATAGCTTTGAGGAATGAGAACATCTTGTGTGCTGTCCTCTCCTGTCCCCCACGAGCAACATGCTGAAATGACCCCAGGGGAGCTTGGAAATAAAAGTACCCTGGATTCTTGAATCAGCATGTGAAGGAAAGTTGTCTTCAAAACCACAACAATAATATTGGACTGCAATTCGAAGCAGAAAAAAAAAAATGACTCTTTTGCTAAGTTGCTGAAATTTGGAGATTTATTTGTTATAGTAGCAAGCATTTTCTCAGCTAATAATTTCATCTAATTTTCATGTCCCTGTAAGACATGATTCAACAGTGAGTTGCAACAGCTGTGATACACTTGAAAGAAAAATCAACAGGCCTATCATTTGTTGTACCAGGAATTTTCTAGTTGCTTTTCACATTATACTTTCTAATATAAAAGTAAACTGATTCTTAACTATCTAACAACTGACTGCTTATGGCATTGAATTTTTTTTTCCTGGTGCTAAAAATACAGAATAGTTCAGGGAAATACAGAAGTGCACAATTTTCAGATGGATAAATTAGCAGGCATATCATCATTTTATAGAGGAGGATGCAGGTTCAGAGAAGCTAAAGGAAGTTTGCCTAAGTGCAGACTTTTAGTTACAAATGCTGTACTTTTAGACTAAATTTTAATCTCAAAGATTCTGCTTGTAACTATATAAAGCTGTACACGTGAAGTTTCAATTGTCATTATCTGCATTGCTCATCTTTCTCTGTCTGGTCTTACAGTCAGGCAAAATCATACTCACATCTACTCAGCCTCCTGACTGCTGTGTGGCCTTGTGGAAATCATTCAAGGTCTCTGAGCCTTACATACCTCATCTGTTAGTTGGACATAATAATAGAAGCTAATATACAAATTGTTGTTGAGATTAAGATGTGGTATTCTATACAAAATGCAAAAGTACATGCAAGAAAAATAAATAACTCCTACATAGAAAGTACTCAAAGATAATTGTTTCATTATAATGCGGATAATTTCAGGAACAAACAAATGTACATGATTCTATTACCCTTCCTTACCTGTTCTGATTGCTTGAGGCTTGATCTGGATGTGCCTTACTCTATTTTTCCAGACCCCACTAAACTAAATATGTTCCCTCTCAGCTCATGTCCCATGACACTGTGGGGGACACCCTGGGTTGTCTGTCCATTTTTCTGTCTTTTTATCTTTAAGACCCTCCCCCCAAAAAAAATTATACTTTGTTTTAAACAAAGGCAAATATTTAGATTGAAAACAGAAATCACAAGATGAACACTCTTAAACCAGAAATATACCATAAGTAACCTAAAGTCCAGAAAACAATACTATCGTCTTACTTCTGAATGAATGTGTACTTTTGTTTGGGGACATTCTCAAATACCCTCCCCTCCAAAGGCCACCTGGTGCAAGGACGCACTCCTCCTGGGGGTGGTTGCCATTCCTCTTCCAGTTTCTGTTTCGGTCACTGCTCTTTCCGACTGTGAATGCCAGAGCCTCATGGGGTGCAAGCATGGACCCCCTTCCTCTCCATGTGCCTCCCCTCTCCTTCGAGGCACGAGCTCCTAGCCACATGCTCCTGTCATGGTGCCTTCTCGCACTACAGGCCCCAAAGCAATGGGATCAACTCACCATGAACTGAAACCCGAAATTATGAGCCAAAGTAAACCTTTCCTCCTCGTGAACTGTTGATGCAGATACTTTGTTCCCGCAATGGAAAGCTCACCAACACAAAAGTCCTAAAGGATCTAATTTCAGCAGCCAGAGATCCTCCGTCAGCCCAGGACACTGTGAGGCTCGGGGGACAGCAGAGTCAAAGGAGCCAGGTCGGAGCACTGCTGGCTCAGCCCTGGACAAATAGCTTTCAGGGACGAGGTCACCCTGGCACAGCAGCCCCCGGCAGCAAGACCTGCACAGGATGGATATTTCAGCCGCTTCACATTACTTTCCACTGGGTTTTGCAGGCTGAAGGTCTCTTCTTGGCTCACAGATGTATTCTTGGTTCACAGGTCTGTGCTGGGGCTCAGGTCTGGGCATTTGGGGTGGGGTGTTCTTCCACTTAGAGCCTGTCAATCACAGCACTCTTTTGTCCCTTTAATCACAGACTAAAGGATCAGGCCATCACCTGCATTAGCTAGCTCTCCCTTCTCTTTCTCACACCCCGTCTCTCCCCCTCCCATTGCAGGTACATGCCCTTGTCCTGCCTCGAAGTTCACTGTCGAACAGTTGCCATGACAGGCCCTGGTAAGATCTTTGCAGGGAGACTTTCTGCCCCACTGATTCCTTTAGATCGTGCAAAATTAAACGGCTGCCAATAAATGCTGAGTCAATCACTCCTTTAGTTCTTTATTAAGTAGAGTAATTTAAGTACCTATTGAAATTAGTGAAATAATGGAATGATGCCTTTGATAAGAATAGAGGTAAAACTCATTGAGCATCTATCTTGAGTTAGACTAATTGATATTACCTTCTACCCTCAGAACAACTCTGAGAACAGGGGGGAAGGGGAGCCATAACAAATGGCAGAGATAATTGAATCCATTTAACAATAGAACTAAGACTGAATGCACTTGAGAATTTATGATTACAGAGAACCAACAATTATTCCATAAATAGTGTAGGGACAACTGGGTAGCCATCTGGAAAAAGTAGTGCAGAGAGTTCCTCCACAACTTACAGTAAAGTGGATTGTAGATGGAGCTCAGACTTCAACATAAGAAGTAAAACTCTATCCTAGAAGAAAATGAGGGAGGTAAAAATAAATCCTGAAGTGGAAAGGACTTTAAGTTAAAAAGAAATCTACAAATCATTAATTTTGCTACATGAATCAACAAAAAATAATAAGAAAACATATTTGCTTATTCTTAATATAAAAAGAATTTCTAGATGTGAATTAGGAAAGACTAACATTGTGGTAGATTAATGGAGAAATTATCTGATGGATTAATTCATAGAAAAATGCATGAAAGGCTGTCAAACGCAGAGACATACTCCACTCATGATTAGGGAAATGCAAATATGAATTATTAGGTTGTATTTACTACTATAAAATTGGCAAAGATCAAAATATTTAGAAACATTATATTAGTGAATTTGCGAAACAACATATACTATTATGAATTACTGGTGGGAGTTTAAACATACTACTCATTAATAGTAATTGGATCTGGGAGTGCTGGCACATGTCTGTAATCCTAGCAACTCTGGAGGCTTAGATGGGAGGATTGCAAGTTTGAGGCTGACCTCAGCAACTTACAAAGGCCCTCAGCTACTAAGTGAGACCCTGTCTCAAAATAAAAAAGGAAAAGGGTTAAGGAGTTGGTTCATTGGTAATGTGCCCCTGGGTTCATCTCCAATATCAACAACAACAACAAAAACTTTGACATGTCAAATGCAAAAATAAAAATAAATATCAAAGCATCTGAATGAAAAATGACTATATCTTGTGATTCAGCAATCACTTTTAATTTTAGAATTTTAACTTACTGATAGAGTTTCCACAGACCACACACACAGTAAGGCTGTTAATTGAGGCATATTTATTTTGGAATTATAGAAGGTTAAATATACCTGTCAATAGGGAAGCAGATAATAATCATGATTATCCATAATAATAATACACAATTATCAAAAAGAATGAGGCAGCATTACACAGCAGATATGGAAAGATCTCTAAATTAAGTTAAAACAAATTGCTAAGTGAAAGAAGCAGGAAGCAAGCTAATGTGCACTATACATTTTCATTTGTGCACAAATAAAGGAATATTTGAATACTTGGTTATGAAAATGAAAGCAATTCTGAAAGAGAATCATGCCTGCAGCTTCCATTTAACAGGTGAGGGAATGGAGAATCAGAAATGACCTGTGTCACCTTTCAAGTTAACCGTTAGCAAAGTGAGAGATTTCAACCCAATTCGCCCGACACTGTGCATTTGCCTGACACTATGCATTTGCTTTTCTCCCTAAAAGGATACCAGGTTTTCTTGTGATCAGTGAGAATTCAGAGAGAAGAGATTCAACTCTGATCCTGAAGGACTCACAATCAATGAGGAGAGATAGTCACAGTTACATAGCAGCATAATGACAGTCCTCAACGGGTTCTGTGGGCTAACCGGTGAGTCGCCCGCTGCGAAGGAACGTGGACATTAATGACTGAGTTGCATCTTGAAAGGAGGCAGGAGTTCATCACGTCTCAAAGAAAAGAAGAGGAAGAACCAGAGAGAAGGAGCACTGTGGTCACACGCTGAGAAAAAGCAAAGAAAGGCAGAAAGAAAGAGAGAGAGAGAGGTGAATACATTTAGAGTGTGTCTCTGAACATCCATTAAATCTTGGTCCTGAGTTGCGTCCTTGTCAAGTCCTGGGGAAGGACAGGCTGGGGATGCAAAGGATGAGAGGACCCCAGAGCAGTGAATGCTAAGCTGTTTTACAGCAAAAATAAAAAAGAGTGCTTTCCCGTGACGGCCTGGGGTGGTCCAGGGCTCTTTCTAGGTAGCTAACCTGCCAGCTAGGAAGTTCTCCCTGCGAAGGTGGCACTCAGGAAGAGATGGGACCATGAGATTGAGCCCACTGGGAGCGAGTGGAGAGGTTCCAGGGGATGCAGCAGGAAGGAGAAGGCTTTTCAGGGACCCAGATGAGGGACGGTGGGGGGTAATGGGGGATGAGCAATGGGAGGAGAGAAGAGGAAAATTTCAAGATATATTCCAGAATTAGAATTGGCCAGCGGTGCCTGGAATGTGGGAGACGTCCAGAGAAGGGCCCTAGATGACTCTTGGGTGCTTGGTCTTAGCAACTGGTGCCTTCACGTGACCTGCAACGGGTCAGAGGGATGGCAGCAGGGCTGGGCTTAGGGTCAAGTGAGAACCCTGTGACAGCTCAAGGTAAATTCCACAAAATTCATTTGACCTGAACACAGAATGAATGAAAAAACGAAGAGAGGTAAGAGTGGAGGGCTGAGGAAATAACTGGGCATGAGACTATGAGGGCATTTGAGGGCCAGGGAAAGGAGTTTGGACTTTGCTTTGTAATGAAAATAAAAATAAGGCTCTGTGTTGGTTTTTCATCTAGGCGGCCATTCCAAAGCACTATTTCCTTCATTCCCTGATTTCAGAAAATGGAGTTGGTTATTTAGTAATGTGATCAAGGTCACATAGAACCGCAGTTACAGCAAAAGCCCAGGTTCAAGGTCAAGGAAACGTGAGTGCAGACCCTGTGCTCCCCTCCCACCCCAGCTCCTCTCTGTCTCTCTCTCTGCCCCACTTTCCCTTCTCCTTCCTCTTGTTCCATTTCACCCTCTATCATCTATCATCTAGCTATCTTCTGGGCATCTATTTACAATAAACCACATGTGCACTTAAAAATTTTAAATAAACATATTAAAATAGTAAAAAAGCAGGTGAATATAATTTAAACAACTTATTTAGCCAAACATATCCAAAATATTGCCAACATGTAGTCAATATTAAAACATTACAGATGCAACATTTCCAATATAAAAATCACACTTGCAACATTTGATATGCAACAGTATAAAAATGTATGGCTGCAACATTTTTCATACTAAATCTTTACCCTCTGTTAGGTACTTTCAGCAAATGTCCTCTTGAACCATGTTCAAGTACTCAGTAGCTTCAAGTGACTCCTGACTGTCAGGCTGGGTGGCCCAGGTCTGGAGCCTGTGCTTTAACCAAAACAATATTCAGTGGAAACGTTTGGAGAAAATGCCAGGATTATTGCTTATGAAGATGTTGTAGGTGATTGTAGAGCTGTAATGGATGCAGCAGAGCCAACACAAAGGAGTGGAGACAGGATGAAGAGAGACAAGGATTTTCTGATTTCTTCATTCCCGGGTATTTCCAGGGGCTGCTCTTTCTTACTCCCACTTCTCCACGCCCAGCTTTCTGTTTCCTTCCCTTCTTGTGAATGGGTAGAACTGACAAAGGAGGATGGGTAAGGATATTCAAAACGGTGTTCACCTTTGCACCTTGGGCCCTCGGAACTTCAGGTGTCTCTTTAGACAGACTGAATGCATAGCATGCAACCAGGTGGCAATTACAGAATGTTGAGGTCACCTTATACAAGGACATTATTGCAAAAAGCACAAACTATTACCATCTTCACAATGGAGGAGCTCTTTTCAAGCTTTCCAATATCTCCATAGAGCAAATCCTCAGCCTGCATTTCTGAATACCTCCCTGAATAAAACGGACCACTTTCTTCCCAACATGAATAATATTTATGCTCACATGTAGGTCAGAGTCAGCCAAACGGCTCTTGTGTGTGCAAGTCTATTTTAGACTTGGCTGTCATGACAACCATGGGATTTGGCCCAGGTGTCTTCTATCTCCCGATACACAGACAGCAAGTTTTCTGGCCTGGCTGTGATTTCTGGGGAGCAGCACTTAGGAATTGCCACAGGATGATTCAGCCTGCTGGGTCTTGGCAGGCATGCTGACCCGACTGACGGCAAAAAGATTGTGTTCCATGTGGCTCCTTCATTTATCAATTTAGATTAGCAGAGGGCACGGCGGGGAGGGCTGGGATCCCGAATGTGCCAAGTTTCCACGGTTCTGCATGAGCCAGGAAGGTCGAGAGAGTGAGGGGTGGGCATGGTCTAAGCCGTGCTAGGTCCTAGAGTTCAGAGTTGACACTTCGATCGGTTGGGCTCACATTCCTGTCCATGGGCACAGGTTCTGCAGTTGTTTTCCAAGGGGGAGACCCTGGAACAGCTCCACTGGCCCAGGCTTGACAGAGGGTCTCTACTTCCACTCAGCACTGAAAACCCAGGAGGGTCAAGAGTAGCCTCTTCCTTTTCCTGCCCTCCTAGGGTCACCCATCCTAGAGCAGTAGTTCTCAAATTCTGCCGTTTAACAGCATAATTTTAGGAGATTCAAATATTCTGAATCCCCTGGCAAATCCCTAGACCCGTTAAATAAGAATGTCACGCCCAGGACCATGGAGTCCTAAGCATTTGTGGTTTTTAAGTTCCCAGCTGGTTGCAAAGTACAGGGGAGCTGAGATGCTCTGACCTGCAGTGTGCTGGGGGCTCCTGTGCTAGGATCAGGAGAAGCTTGATAGGCAGATGTTTTACAATGACGAAGTGTATCCTGTTGTGGATTTGAATAGCTGGAACCATGATCATCAATTTGTTTGGCTTTGGAACCCTTTCCACCCTTAAGAATTTCTAAAGGTTCCAAAGTACTTTGTTGACGTGAGCTGTATCTATTAATATTTGCTGTAAGGGAAATTAAAGCTAATATATATATATATTTTCTTAATGAAAGATCCCCAAGCACACGCATGAACCACTGGCTGCCGGCTCTGTGGTGTCCTGCCAGCTCCTGGACCTCAGGGAACCCACAGTCAAACCTGGCAGAATGAGAGCAAAGAGACAAGTGGGCTTTTGGTATTATCACAGCAGTAAAGTTGACCCATGGACCCTCTGAAAAGGTCCCAGAGATACCGAGATCTTTCCCAACCACATTCTGAGAACTCTTGCGATAAGTTTTTCTCATGATTTTCGAGGGAAAAATTTAGAAGTATTTTTTTTCCCATTACTGTGAAAAATTCCTCTTTTGACTGATGTTTCATGCTCTGGGGATTGCAAACACACTGGCTAGACATATTTCTTAGCAGAAAGAGTGGACTCATTAATTCTTTGACCCTGGCAAAACACAGAATGAGAGAACATTTTCTAGCAAAACATTTTCTACCTCTGTCAAATTGTCATCTCTCCCGCCCCCGGTATCATAGTTACCAGTTCTGGGATGCCAGGAAATATTAGCTAATTAAATTCACATAACAATAGCCAAAAGTTATCAAAAGTATATTAGGCATCAGACATTGTACTGAGCAATTCCTTTTTTGACTCACTGCATTCTCATGCTATTCTGAATTGTGAATTATTATTATCCCAGTTTTATAGATGAGGAATCAGAGTCCAGCAGAGGTTGAAGTCTTGCATGGTCATGAGATCACTGTGTGTTAAAGCAGAGGGCGGGCTCTGCCTGTCGCTCCAGAGTCCCACTCTTAAAGTCTGTGTGTGTGGCCTCTGCATGCGTGTAAACTCTGCCCATGAGGAGTCTGTGTAGCCTCTGCATGTGTGGCCTCCATGAGTAAGGAGTTCACAAGCACCAAGCTGGACTTCAAGTGCCCATGGGTCTTTCTTTTCTTCATGGGAAGCGTAGCTAAAACTAAAGAACACACACATACATACACACAGACATGCATATGCACACACACATGCACACATCCAGCATCCAAATATAATTACCAGTAATAAGTATCCCTTATACCTTCCCCACTCATGCACCATCTGCTTAGTTATGCCATAGCTATACTTTGTCTATATATTTTTTGATATAAAATTATGAGAAACTCAGAGCTTAGAAAGACTGATGATATGCAAAGTCAGCCTTCTAATTTTACAGACGAGGCCATTCAAGCCAACCAAACAGACTTCTCCAGGATGACACAAGTTATTCGTCAAGACGAGAATCCTGGTTCCCCCCTGCGCTCAATGCCTTATTTATTTTTAACAATACAGTGGACAGCTTTATGATCTTAGCCTGGAAGAGAAACTGCAGACCGGAGGAAAGAAACATTATTCATTCTAAGTTAATAAAAAGTGTGTGCGTGTGTGTGTGTGTGTCCCTTAAAGCTGTGAAAAAGAGAATCTTCCCGAGCAGCAGGCAGCTGAAATTTGTAAGTTTCAGAATTTCCTCCCTGAAATCCTCCTGGAGCTAGCTTTGCTCTGAGCTGCCTTCTCACCGTGGCATGGCATGGAGCAAATGTTTTTGGCCCCAACTGCATAACAGAATATTAGCATCTCCTGGAAAGTTGTCACTTTTTCAGAAAAAAAAAATGTAACAGAAAGAAATTGGGGGAAACCCCAACCCCATTCCTGCCTCCCACCGTTGGAGAGGATGATTGATTGCTCTGATGAAGGGCATTTTTTCCAAGGTCCAGGGTTGAGAACCACCCTCCTCGAGAGGAAAGCAGGGCTTGGGTGTCAGGATTCCTGCATCCTTTCTGCATGCTCTCACGATGTGCTGAGCCACAGGCTCGTCCTCTGTGGGAGTTTCCTGTACTCAAGGGAGGCATCGCGCCCATCCCAGGGTCTGCAGGGTGGCACAAAGCCAGGCATACTAGAGACCTCATTCTGGTTCCCTGGGTGTGCAGAGCAGAGCTCAGCTCCTCTGTGGACAGGATCATCTCCCTGGTGCTCTGAGATGGGAGCCTGTGAGATCACAGTGCCCCGGTGCACGTCTCTGCTCCCGTCTCAGGGCCCTGAACTCCATGGGCAGGCAAAGAGCTTCACCCAGGACTGCTGCATGACACGAGCCACTCCTGCCCTGTCTTCTGCTTTTCCACGGACCACACAGCTCTCCTCTGTCAGCTGTCCCTTAGGTGGTCCATGACTGTGCTCTTTGGTTTCTTCCTATCATTTTATCTATGTGTTATGTTCAAGAAAAACTCTGACCACTCCAGGCTCCCAATCCACTTCGTGGAAGGTCAGGAGGATCTGTAACGTGGGGAGCTGAAGACAAGCCAGGCCACTGTTGAGGACAGGTGAAGTACACTGAGAACAGATTGTTCATTCCTCAGATCTCTGTTTGGCTGGAGTCATAAAATAGGCCTGGGTTGCCATATTAATTTTCTGTGGCTGAGTCACAAATTACCATACAGTTAGTGTCTTAAAATAGCACAAATTTATCACCTCTCACTATTAGTGCATCGGGAGTCCAGAAGCGGTGTAGGTGTGTTTTCTGCTCAAGGTCTCACAAGGTTGCAATTAAGGCATTAGCCAGGCTATATTCTCATCTGGATGCTAAGCTAGGAAAACAAATCCACCTCTGCTCTCATTGGAATTATGGGCAGACAGTTTCCTTTTAGCTGTTTGACTGAGAATCTTGGCTTGTGTTAGTCAGCTTTCTGTTGCTGTGACAAAGTACCTGAGAAAATCCATTTGAAGGAGGAAAGGTTTATTTTGGATCAGAGTGTCTGAGGTTTCTCTCACTTGGCTCTGTTTTTGGGGGCCTTTGGTGAGGCAGAGCCTCATGGCATG